CGCTTTGCAATACGAACAATTTCTTTGCAATACAAAGAACGAAAATTGTTCGTAACGTTGCAAAGTATTTAGTTCGTAAGCTTTTTACAGTGCATACTCTAATGATGCAGTCTGAGACTGTCCAACAGTTGGGCTCGGTTGGGCTGTGAAGCGGAAGAAGGGGATGAGTACAAAAACTGTACTTTTAAGGAAATCAAAACAAAAAATATTTGCACGTAGTAATGTAATAATGCAGATGGAATGCACTCCCCAAAAGAATATTACTGGAGCCTTGAGAGTTTTCAATATCAGGCTCCTTTATAGAGTTATAGCACTCGACTTCCCAAAATTTCCCGTTTTTCCCTGACTTTTCTGAGTACAATAGAAGGTCAGTGTAGTGGAAATGCAGTAAAGAACGCAAAAATAAATTCGTTGTTACTGAAAAATATTAAGAATAATGAAAATCGGAATATCGGTAAAAGAGTCGACTAAGATCGCGTATTTGCTCGATAGCGGAGCGAGCGAGAATTCTTTTTTACTTTAAAACTGAATTTTATGCTATCGTTGGTGTAACTACCTGGGCCATGGCCATCAGTATTTGCCCGCACACTGAGTTTTCCCTGACCTGTGAGTTCTTCTAATTTTTGCGTTTCCACAATAATATGTTTCCGGGTGTATTTTTGATTATACTTGGGCTTTCTCTGTGAGCACCATACGCCTAGTTAACGCTGCTGGCATGGAAACGCGGCAGCGGGAGGGGGCCAGTGGCTTTCGGAACTTACGGCAGTCACAGGCAGTTTGCAGGCGTTCTGCTCCGACAGACTCCAAGGTCAATGTACACCACACCAGGCATAAAGCACTACACTAAAGCGCGAGGGAAGTGTCTTGATTTTTACACTCTATAGACAAAATATTTTAGGGTTTCATAGGTGCAAAAAAACAAAAATAATTTCAGAGAGCAATAATCTTAATAGTTTATTCCTTTCTCAACAAGACAAATTAGCCACTGGTCAGTGCACAACAAAATGCCTTTGCTGGTATCCCCCACTCTCTTTTCCCCTTCCAATGCAGGCGGCGTACGCAGCAGCTGCGTCTGGCTCCAGAATAACGAGTCCAGCTCTCGCACTCCCCTTTAGTACACTATACTTGTTCTCCCACGACTTCTCCAAAGAAGTTGCCCGGGGCCCGGGAGACAAATGGCGGGGGCGGCAGCAGCAAACAGCAACTGTCAATGGTCTGGCGAGCGTAGAGCAGTGTGAGCGAGAGCAGTAGACTGATCGACAAAAAAATCTATCTCCCTCAAGTAACGTGCTCCTTCGTCTACCGCTGCGCTGGGCGTGTTACAAGCATGGATGAAGCAGTCCCACTGCAAATCCAACAAACTAGAAACGCGAAGAGACTTTCATGTCCACAGAAAGATGCATTTTTAAGCACGCATCGTGACTAAACGCACTTTTGCATTTTTAAAGTGAAACGTGGGCTGTGAAGCGAAAGAGGGGGAATAATTTGACATATAGCAAACTGAGATTTTAAGTGGTCGTGAATCTCCTACACGAGGCATATTTATGGGAGAATTCGTTGTCGTACGAGCCATATATAGTCCTTGAGTTCCGACTAAATGAAAAATGAAGTAAGTTGATTTAACATCTTTTGCCTATTGACACCCCTTTCAGTGCTTGGACATTTTAAAATATTTGACACTTAAGATGACTCATGCTTTATCGAAAGGGGAAACGTGTGCAACTTCAAGATAGCGCCACAGAGAAGCGGAGTAGCGAAGTAATATTCAGAACGCCGTTTATGGTGAAAGGTTGGGCCTGCTTGTTTTTCATAGGCTAAAGCACCCCAAAAAATGACGATAAGGGAAGGGGTGGGGCACTGAGGAAAAGGTAGACATCCATCATAGCAGGCCGCTGCTTACGGTGCGGGTCCTCTGGCAGCTCTTTCTGCCCGTGATTTGAATGTGAAAGGCGAGCGGCGTGCGCGGGCCCGGTAGCATTTGCAATGGAGAAGCAGCTGTAGTCAATGCGGCGTCGACTCGTCCAAGGTGGAGTGCCAGGCCAGCCACCGTCGCAACGCGCCTGTTGCATGCACAGATTTAACTATTGCCGACGACGTCCGGGCGGGTCCGAGCGCCCACCACACCAAGGATAGGCAGACCCGCACAACAGCTAAGATCAGCGGGACCACCGTCTTTCTCGTCGGTCTAGCTCCACCACGCTAATAACGACGCAGGTTTACAGTTTACGAGTGACAGTGACACTGCAGCACTGCACGTCAAGGTTTAGTACATATAGCTAGCTCATATTTCAAATAGGTCCTAAAACACACTGCACGTAAAAGCGCAGAACATGAACATGTAGCTCGCCCAGTAAAGATTACAAGTTTCACAAAGTTCAAATTTTACACGTGATTTGGTCAGAGGTCGTGATTAAAAAAAATATTGCTATTTTAAATTGAAGTTACACTGTAAAAATTAGTTGTTAAAACAGCTCAGTTGTTGACCAACAGCTCAGTTGTTCGAGAACAACAGAAGTAGTTGAAAAACAACTACGTTTGTTGTCGATGCATTGTTAATATTGGACTATTGGGATTGGGCACCATTTTGTTTTTGCTGACCTTTTTATTTCTGTAACTGGACAACTTTTGCTGTTCTTCGACAAACGAAGCTGTTGTACAACATCACGAGTCAGTTAAAAACTTAACAACGAATTTGTTGTTATGTGACAACAATTTTTTTTTACAGTGTAGTTTGAGTGTATTCCAGCGTTTGTTGATAGCACAAGGGGTCCCCACCCCAACTCGGTTAGAGCGTGTTCACTGGCCGCCCAGAAACCTCTGGCAGATATAGGAACGCTGTCAGTTCAAGTGTGTACATTGTCTATTTTAAATAAAGAGTACATGACATGTACGCATTTATTAAATATACATGCCATGTACACTTGAATTATACAATGTACCGATGTACACATTTGAATTGACAGAGAAGACAAACCAAGAAGACCAAAGGAAACCTAAGAAGACCGAAAAATATACTGGGACACCGCAATAATCATGGGATCGTCATGGGACTAAGAAATTCGTCAGGAGACAGGAAAAGTTGTAGGAAAACCAGGACGAAGATAGGCAATTCAGAACCCAAGAAGGAGAAAACCTAAGGAAACCTTAATAAGCCTTCAAAGCCCGTAAGAAAAAACAAGGAAACACAAGAGGAAACACAAGAATACCGAATAAAACTTACATGGAAACCAAAGCAGCCCCCAGATGAGCAGGAAACCCGAAGGAAAGCTCTGGAAAATCGGGGAGGCTACATCATGTGTACATCGGCAGACCATAGTTGGAGACCCTCGTGATAGCTACGCACAAGGAGAGGGGGGTTACAGTGCCCACCACAAGTCGGGGCCGGGGGAAGCAGAGCGTATAGGGAAGGGGGAGCTGCCGAGAGGGAAGCGGTTCGAACTATCTCCCCTTACACTCGACTGGACTTGCCTAGCTTTCGCGGCTACGGCGTCGCCAACCACGCCTAGAGTGCGCAGGTCTCCCTGCGATCCCCCTGCAACTTACCAGCCTGCTTCTTAACCAATTCTCACCTCAGTTTCGCCGCAGTCTGAACTACTTCTCTCAATTTCGTCTCCTTCTCACACTTCTCCTTTAACCGACTGATTCGGAGACCGAAGTATTCCTTTGAACAGTGTTCCTTTCTCCTCGTACCTCATCCTCATACGCCCCCCCTCCCTCTTTCCATTCCCAATCGCACTCACCGTTCTCCTCTGCCTCGTCTCACGGCCAATTTTCAGACCACGTGTATAATTTAGAACTGCATTGCATTTGCTGCGATTGGGCTTCCGAGTGTGCACTGTGCGAGGGCCATACTGTAAACAAAAAGAACAAAGATTTCGTTATTTTATTTTGCAGAGCATACTTACGGAGTGACCCTTCTGTACCTGTAATTTTGAAATCCTGCTATATGGAGAGCCGTGGATCGCAGAGAAGAGAGCACATATTAGGGGCCGTACCCAAACCAAGTGAAAAGGGGGGGGGGGGGGGGGGGGGGGTGTCCCGAAACCACAACAGACCACCACAGAGGGGGGGGGGGGAGGGGGACGCGATAACTGGTGTTTTGCGATTCCCACGCTAACTCACATGATAACTCCAAAAATATGATAAAAGTATCACATTTTTGTGATCAAATCATCACAAAAAGTGTAATAAAATAATTTTTGTGATGGGGAACCGTGAGTAACTGAATGAGCGATGATCGGCTAGTGTCGCGCCCCAACAAATCTTGAGACCTCTATTGCGTTTGCTGCAAAGCAGTGCTGAGGCGCACCGCGGCCCGCAGCCCTATCGCGCCGATTCAGGAGCTCCTTACATGATACAACACATCTCTAAATATGGAAGACAATCAGAAAACAGCCCTACTATTAAATGTATAACGTCTGCTTTCTCGATCGATTCTTGATTGAGTGTTTTAGTTAATTTTCAGAAGCGTGGTTCATTTGTGTATTTCAGATTTCTCTGATAAGTAGCAGACTTACGGTGACAGTGTGCAAGGTCCGTGACGTGGTTGGGCAAGTTGCGCGGGCGTCTGCCACTTTGAATAAACCCAGAAGCAGCAGCAGCAGAAGCTCCGAGGCCACCATCACTAGAGGAGGGAGGGAGGGAGGGAGAGGGAGAGGGAGAGGGAGAGGGAGGAGAGAGAGAGAGAGAGAGAGAGAGAGAGAGAGAGAGAGAGAATTGAAATGAAATTGAATTTATTAAGGATCCTCAAAAAGGGCTATGAAGCCCCACTACATGAGAACCCGCTCTCTAGCAGGATGTTTAAAGATACTTATTGACTAATCGGATTGAGGCGACCGTACTTCGGTTCTTACCATACCCACCACTCATTCATTCTTTGTCGGGCGTCTTAAAACAACACGACATTTTTGCGAAGTGGAAAACACATTGTGCACACTCGGCATCCAACCCAGTTAAGAAAAGAAAAAGGAAGAGAGGGACATGAGCGCGTGAGATACGAGGAAAGAGTAGCCAGCGGTGGCCCCCACCAGTGTGAGCATAGCATCCCGCAATTAGGGCCCTAAACACAATCTCCCCATCATTTAAAAAAAACTTTTGCTGAACGTGCACTGCGTAACAATAATATGTACATCAACAACAAACAATTAGATTTAGGTTACAACGTTGGAATGTTCAAAAACTCCCTTCTCCCACATTTTCCCCACACACTTTCCTCTGTCTGCAGTCACCACTTCCTGCTAACCAACCAGCCGTATGACAAATACAATCTGCAGGTGAAATCATCTCAGTGACAGTGACAACTGCGCGGCGGCGGTATCGCAGAGGTTGCAAGAAGGAAAGACAGAGGAATAATGTAAAAACCCAAAGCAAATAAATAATATTACAAAAGGCACACGGACGGAGTGGGGGAGCAGTAGCGGTAGGGGCTGCTGTGCCCGCGTAAACATTTTCTTTTCAAGTCGGGTACGTGCCTGCCTTCCTGGAGACTGCTTGGGCCAGGCCCTTGGCGCCGTCTGGCGCACGTACGAATAGAGACAAAGGCGACCGGTACCGGTGGCCCACCTCAGGGCAAGCCTCAGGGAGAGCCTTACAGCCTCTACACGTGCTCGGCCCGGAGCGCCCCGCCTGGTGTTATTCATCCCTTACCAGTTCCCTAATTTATAGAGGACTCTCTTGCAAGATTGTTTTTTTTTTTTTTTGAACTGATCACTGCTGCTATTTTTTTTAGCAGATGATACCTTAAAAACCCTTGGGCTAAATATAAAGCAAATTTAAGTAACTGTAAGGTGTCAGCTAGCTTTTACTCTCGTAAATGGACAGGAGAACCAAGCGGAGACCAGAAAACAATTTATCTGGCGCTGGGGGAATGGTGTCCGAGTGTCTGGCTGGCTAGGTTCGCGCCAGGCCCCGTCACTGCAGAACAGTTTACTATGCCACCGACGCCGCGCACAGTAAAAAGTTTTGTTGGAAAATTCCGAACAATTAACAGGAAAATTTGCAGCGCAAACAGTTTGGAAAATTTGAAATCCAAACAGTTTGGAAAATTTGAAATCCAAACAGTTTTGAAACACAATTTCCCGAACTATTGGAAAATTTCGAAACTTTTTAGGGATCTCTCAAAAACATTTGACGAACATTTTTGAATATTTTGGAAAATTGTCATTTTTGAAGCTACTAAACTTGGTTCTGATGTAAAATGGTTCCTTTTTTCTGTTCCAAATTGTTCGGAAATTTCCAAGAACAGGACTGGATATGAATCGGAAACTGCCCTCGGATTCGCCGTATCTTTAACCGCTTTAGAGATAGAGGTAGATATATAAAAACAAATATAAAACAATGGCAAAAATTCAAATTTTAAGACTGACAAACAAAACAAGCTAAAAACTGCGCTAGTTCATTTTTTTTCATTTTTGTTATTCTTTAGCAAAGCAGAAGGGTGGGGTGTAGTCACGGTGCCACCCGTTACAGTCTTTTCTCATGTCCAAGGAGCAAATCTACAGGGCCGCAGCCCCCTCCCCCTGCCCCGGAAGCCTTAGCTTACTCAAATATGCAATCGGCCCATGCCGAACGGAGTTGCCTGCGGAGCGAAGGGAAGCTGGCAACTTCGTTTGGCGGAAGGGCGGGCCTTGCTTTTTTACATCGATCCTCCCCCCCCCTCCTCACCTCCGCCAATGTTAAAAAAAGTTAAAGAAAATTTGCTGGTATGACAAATGGGGCCGACTCCTCCTGGTGATGACTAGTTTGTAATAAAAACAACATCATCAGTTTTCATTGGCATGTGACAAAATTTCTTTTATTTTGCGCGTAGTGGTCCAGAACAATGATTCCTACTTTTCGCCATGTTGTAACACTAAAACAAAACCGTTGTAAAGTTTGATAGCACGATTACAGAACGAACAAGTTTGTGTCATTAACAATTTTTGGTGCAGGTGGAAGTAAATATCCACTATTTTGAAATGAAAATCGGTTGGATTACAACATGTTTTTTTGTTTTTTTACAACATTTGTAGCTATCAAACTTTACATTAAGTGTATTGTAAATTTAAAACAAGTTTTCTGACAGTGGCCGCCCTTCCACATTGCGCACTTTCTTTCATCTTCACTGCCAGACGCTCTTGCACCATGAACGGGACCGCGTGATGAGACTGCGGGCGTGGGCGAGTGAATGTGGCCTTCTCCGAGAACCAGTGGTGTCCCCCCATCCCCCATGATTTTCGCTAGAAAAGCAAGGCAAGGAAACGTTCTTGGTTTCATTTCATAAAGTATGCGAACGCCGCAAAATCGCCAAGTGACATGACCGTTGTGCTTGCGAGACACTGGTAGCTGGACCCCGATCCTGATCGTAGCCAGAAAAGTGGAAAGTTGTTGCACTTATCGTAATAGTTCACTAATGGACAACCACAAAGTCTGGCAGCTGAAGTATTAACAGTTTCTGAGAACTATGTTTTAGTTTTGCTCTCTCGATGACTGTTGTCACAACCGTCATTTTATGATCGTCCCTGAACTGAGCCCCCGAGATGGTAATCTCAACAAAAGCTTTCTTTTTTGTCGAGTGTACTGCTCTAATTTGCGGTAGGTGCCATGTTGCCATCGAGATACACGCCTGACTTGGCCGTTCCGTTCGACGTTATTGGCGAACAATGACGTCATTTGGTTGTCACAACCGCTACGGCCCTCCCAGACCGCCCCACGCCAACGTCCTCACCAGCACGCCGACCAATTTCAATGCGAAATGTCAGATTGTCCGTGATTAGGAGGGGGCAGGAGGGGGCGGGAGGGGGCAGGAGGGGTCGAACCAGGACAGGGGCAGCGTGACGGTGCTGCCAGGCTATCACCGGACTCAACAAATGGAT